CGAAGTGTGTGAACAAGAATGGAAGCCCAATATAGCTGTCATTAGTACAGTCAAACAAAAGCACTTTAAAACAAACACTGGTACAACTGTTTATAATAATAATTGTTTCTATTAAATCAGTCGAGTTCTCGTAATAAACGTGAGTCACTACACGTATTTACTGTAGTCGTTGGTAGGCGCATAGCATTGGATGACGTTCATTGTAATGCCCTCTTTCTTTGTTTTGAAGGAGACTTTGATAATCATTGGTCCATGAGATTCCCATCCCATAAATGCATTTTGTGCTTGTTTGGACAGCATCAATGCAACTCTCTGCGTATGTGGGGCACTTCCTTATTCAGAAAATTTCACAGGCTCAAAACAAATCATTTGTCAGCTTAATATCAACCCTCCCATGAATGGGACTCGTCAATTCATTTGTCAACGTATGCAAAAAAAGTTGTATCAGCTGAGTTACCACCATTTCCAGGACTAACCCAGGCCACTCAATTTCCTAGTATTGGCAAAATCAAACTGGAACTGAAAAGTTTTCAAATAAACCTTGAACGCGAGAAGGGATGGGCGAAACAAGGCTGGAAATAAATTGCACACTAACAAGTCATTTAAACTTATCGTAGTCAGTGTTTACGGTTATGTTTTCGTTTATCTATTCACTTAGTTGAAAATATTTCGGAACAATTTCTATTATAGAATGTGTGACGTTTGCAGTGTTGTGATCCTTCGTCCTTCATGACTGACTACTCTACACTTGACACATCCGTAACATGAGAAACTGATAAACAACTACATTTTTCGTGGTTTTATGTAAGTAGACCCTTGGTAAATACTACAGGTAGTGTTAACGCAAACGGCTTATTTATTTTCGAATGTAGGTAACCAATGCAGATGATTTGTGTCGAATGATTCGAGTCTACCTGAGTTAGGTGAAAATAGAGTGATCAACCAGATAATGTCGGACGAATATTGGCTGTTAGTGTCTGCTTTCCGCCTGATTTAACGATATTCTGTCTAATCCAACCTTATATTCATGAGAAATTACTTGATACTCGCATGTACTACAGTTAATTACATTAAAAATTATATGCTCTTGGTCAAAATTATTTACTTACGTACACCTGTTACTCCTCATGAAGGAACATAGGCGGCTCACCGGAATTCTCCATCCAACCCTGTTCTAGGCAATCCTTTCCAGCTCCTTCCAGTTGCTATTCATCCTTTCCATATCTGCTTTTATTTCCCAATGTAATGTGTTCTTTGGCCTTCCTCTTTTCCATTTCCTTTCAGGATTCCATGTGAGGACTTGTCTCGTGATTCAATGTGACGATTTGCGTGGTGTATATCCTATCCATTTCCATCGTCTTTTCTTAATTTCCTCTTCAGCTGGAAGCTGATTTGTTCTATCCCACAAATGGCTGTTGCTGATGGTATCCGGTCAATGCCTGTTGAGTATCTTACGAATACAGCTATTTATACATACTTGTACCTTCTTGATGGTGGTTGTAGTTCTCCAAGTTTCAGCTCCATACAGTAGAAGTGCCTTGACACTTGTATGGAAGATTCTGACTTTGATATTGGTTGAAAGTTGTTTTGAGTTCCATATGTTCTTGAACTGAAGGAATGCGGCCCTTGCTTTGCCAATCCTCGCCTTTACGTTTGCATCTGATCCTCCACGTTAATCGATTATGCTTCCCAGGTATGTGAAGGATTCTACATCTTCCAGAGTTTCACCATCAAGTGTGATTGGATTGTTGTTCTCCGTGTTGTGTTTGAGGGTCTTGCTTTTCCCCTTGTGTATGCTGAGGCCTACTGATGCAAAGACTGCTGCTACACTGGCTGTCTTTGTTTGCATTTGTTCGTGTGTATGCGATAGGAGGGCTAGGTCATCTCCGAAGTCCATATCGTCTAATTGGTTCTGGGCTGTCCATTGTATTCTGTGTTCTCCCTCAGATATAATCCAGAGACCACTAGAAGAAAGAAGAATGGAGAGAGTATACAACCTTGTCTGACTCCGGTCGTTACTTGGAATGCATCTGTCAGCTGTCCTTCATGTACAGCCTCGCACTGTAGTTCGTCATATGAGTTCCGGATAATATTGACAATCTTCTCAGGAACTCCGTAGTGTCGAAAAAGTTTCCATAACGTTCTCCTATCCACACTGTCAAATGTCTTTTCATAATCAGTGAAGTTGATGTACAGTGACGAGTTCCACTCAACTGATTGTTCGACGATGATCCGTAGTGTCGCAATTTGGTCTGTGCACGACCGATCCTTACGGAATCCAGCTTGTTGATCTCGAAGTTTGGCGTCTACTGCATCTTTCATCCGGTTCAGCAACACCCTGTTAAAGACCTTCCCTGGTATTGAAAGTAGTGTGATTCGTCTGTATCTTTCACATTTGTTCAGGTCTCCTTTCTTTGGAATCTTGATGAGGTGTCCTTATTTCCAGTCCATCGACACTTGTTCCTCCTCCCAAATCTTTTTGAATAGAAGGTAAAGCATGTTTGTAGTTACTTCGATGTCTGACTTCAGTGCTTCAGCTAGTATGTTGTCAGGTCCTGCTTTTTTCCCGCTCTTAATTTGTCTGATCGCCATTCTGATTTCTTCCGTCGTTGGTGAATCGACATCTATAGGAAGATCTGTGTGTGCTGCTTCAATATCCGGCGGATTACTTGGAGCCGGCCTATTCAGGAGTTCCTCGAAGTACTCTACTCATCTGTTCCGCTGTTGTTGAGTTTCAGTCATTGACCTGCCTTCTTTGTCTTTGACCGGTCTCTCTGGTTTACAGTATTTCCCTGATAGTTTCTTTGTTGTATCGTAAAGCTGTTTCATATTTCCTTCTCTAACAGCTTTTTCCGCCGTCGTTGCTAGTTCTTCCACGTATTTCATTTTGTTGGCTCTAATGCTCTTCCTCACTTACTTGTTTGCTTCTATGTATTCAGCTTGTGCTTGGACTTTCTCTTCTCGTGTTCGGCTGTTGTTAATTGCTGTCTTCTTGTTCTTCCTTTCTTTGATCTTGTCCAGTGTTTGTATGGAGATCCATTCCTTATGTTGGTGCTTCTTTAGACCCAGAACCTCGTGACACGTTGAAGTCAATGCTCCTTTGATATCTTTCCAGTTGTCTTCCATAGTAGTTTCTTCTTCCTTCAGTAGATCCTGTAAGGCCTGGAACCTGTTGTTGAGAGCTATCTTGAATTCGTTGATTTCGTTAGTATCTCGAAAGAAGGCTGCAATGCTGTTTTTTCAGTTGTCCAGTTCTTCTTTAGATTCAGTTTTAAATTGGCTACAACTAGATGGTGATCTGAAGCTATATCACCTCCTCTCCCAGTTCTCATATCTTCCATTGTCCTTCAGAATTTTTTATTGATGCAGATATGGTCTATCTGGTTCTCTGTAGTGTGGTCCGGTGAGATCCATGTAGCCTTGTGTATACGCTTGTGTGGAAATATTGTGACTCCTATGACCAATTTGTTGAATGCACACAGACTTGCAAATCGTTCTCCATTTTCGTTTCTCTCACCCAGTCCATGTCGTTCCATGATATCTTCATATCCAGTGTTGTCTATTCCGACTTTGGCATTTAGATCTCCCATCAGAATGGTGAGGTCGTTTCTTTGGCACTTCTCTATGATTGACTGCAGTCGCTCGTAGAATCGATCTTTAATGTCGTCATTGCTAACATTGGTGAGTGCATAACATTGGATAATATTCATTGTGATCCCCTCCTTCTTTGTTTTGAATGATGCTTTGATGATTCTGGATCTGTGAGATTCCCATCCTACAAGTGCATTTCGTGCTACTTTGAACAGCATTAGAGCGAATCCCTGAGTGTGCGGAGCATTTTGCTCTTCGTGACCGGAGTATAGTAGCATCTCTCCCGTATTTAGCCTCTGTTGTCCAGCTTAGGTCCAATGGGTTTCGCTAATTCCCGGTACTGCCAAGTTGTATCTCCTCATTTCCGTTGCTATTTGACTGGTCTTCCCGGTTTCCCACATTGTTCGGACGTTCCATGTACCTATAAAAAGTTTTGCTCTGGTACTTAGGAGGGGCATCAGACTCGTGGCTTCCGAAAGAACTCGGCTTTCATCATGAGGCGTCATAGTTCTTCTAAATGAAGACCTAACTTTCAGAGTAGAGTTAGAATAGTTTGAATAGTTTTTTCTGGTAGGCGTTTTTAGCGAGTTAGATTTCCACGGTATGGGGACGCTAACCCCATGCCCAACCCTCCTCCCTTACCCCGGCTTGGGACCGGCAGTAACTCTGGAAGAGCTACAGGCGGAGTTCTTGGCAAAAATGCCTCCTATATTTGCTTTTATCTCTATCAGGGGACAAACGTTTCTACCTAGTGAACTACATCTAGAAGTATGCATGATAAAAGACATTTACCTACAGAAATGTAAATCCAGAAATGGGAAAAACCAAAACTAGAAGTTCATGACTCATAAGGATTTTGCGAAGTATATCTTAGCCCAATAAAACACCTAAATTGGCCGCTACAATCACATAAATTACAATATACCGAGACGCTGAAACATCAAACATTGCTGTTACATTGATAAGCCAGCAAAAACGGCAGAACAAAACACGCCCGTCTTCATGATTCATTATAGAATCTTGAGATGGTGGAGAAAATTTGTAGCTCAGGTGGATGATTTTGGTGGAGTTTTGTTCTCTGAGCTGGATGGTTTGGTCGTGGAGCTTTCATCGTTCTTCTGAACGACATCATCAGCACAAACTTCAGATAGACTTCACTTCTATCTGAAGTTTGTGCTGATGATGTCGTTCAGAAGAACGATGAAAGCTCCACGACCAAACCATCCAGCTCAGAGAACAAAACTCCACCAAAATCATTATAGAATCAAATATGACACCCACTTCATTTTGATTGATTGTCAGGTGCGACGTCAAAATTGCGAAAGAGAGTGGAGTTTATTCTCAGTCGTTAGTTCTGTTCAGCGAAGTTTGCTCATGCAAACTTGCTGGACTTATGAGAGCGCCTTCCCATTTGAAGAGCGCTGATTTGGGATACAAGCGTTACTCAGATGGATTGTATGTTAGTCAGATTGTTGAACGGTAGTGATGGTGGTATTATCAAACTTCAAATCATTTAGGTTTCCCTGTGCAGTAACTTTTAGACTGTTCCCCTAAATCAGCACCACCGTTTCAGTTTCTAAGTGTACCTATAAACTCGTTGACCACTCCATCTATCTGAGTGGTCTAGTCAGCTGTGATGTGTTTGTGTCTGATGATGTGGCGTTACGAATTCGGAAAGTTCGGTTGACTTTTGGTAAATTGTGTCACTTGTGGTGTATGTGGAGTGTCCATCTACCGACTAAAGGACAAGTATACTGGACAGTAACTCGTCCTATCCTACTTTATTGTTGTGAAGGATAGTCTATGAAAGTAGATGTGAGTAGGCCGAATGGTTTTTGATCATGGGGGTTTTGAAGCATTGCTTGCGTTTCTCCGAACGACTGAGTTAGCAATGTTGATGTTTGACAAATGTGTCAAATCGGTCGGTGAGTATAAATCTTCACTGACTGAGGTAGTTAGGACATATGTTACGTACGCCCAACCACTGCCTGCCTCAAAGAGTAATGTTTACTGGTGCAGTATTAGGTTGGAAGAAAGATATGGGTGACCGAACAAGGACGTTGCATCAGCCTATGAACTCAGACTGTTGTCTGAACTATGTAGGCAGATGCAAACTACTTGTTTGAGTCCGCATGATAACCGCCACCAGCCATCGGGGACTTTAAATGACAGCTCAGAATAATTCACAACAACGAAGCAGAATGTTTCCCTAAGAAAACCACCTGCTTGTGTTTGGGTGCCTGGGTATTATTCTAGCCCTCATATAAATCGAATTATTTTTGTGGCGCATATATATTTGGTTCCTCCTTGTGCCAATATCTGTGTTTAAATAAATAGGTAAAATGCATTTAGTCCCTAGCTACCTCTCGGTTTCAGACTTCAGTATCTCTTCATCCATAACTTTTCCGTCTTGTCAAACAATATTCTCATTGCTCAATCTTCCGGTTTGTCACTTCTACATTATTTCTGTCTTTTTATCTCGTCGTGCTAACCATGTACGAGTACGTCGGGGGATTCAATGTAACAAGTCTGGCACATATTTTGTGTACTCGACTTTGAGGCATATTATGTGAGGCTAAGGATGACGCCCCGCTACCCAAACAAAGACGGACCAGGGTTAAAATCTGTAATCTAGTGGTTTCTAAGACAGTGGTTTTAATCAGTAGGCCACTGTTGCACATTTAACATCTTATTACTACTTGTATGAGGTTTAGCATTAGGATGTTATCAGTAGACTCAAGCTTGTAGATAATTTTGCATCCAGAGACTACGACCAATTCACAAAATACAGTGCTTATAACAATATGTTTTCGGTATCTCATAAATGGTTTCGCTTTTATAGGAGTTTGTAGATAGTAGGAATATGCCTTTACCTCGGTCTTACAATCATTTACCCATCTCAAATTACTCATACTGGGGTTTAGATTTAATCGTCCATCAATCCACCCGGGTCTAGTAAATTTGAAGACCATTGTGTCAAATTATTACACAGGGATTCGAGAAAGTATGTCGCTTTATCACACTTTGTATTTTAAGGAGTGTCTAGTAAATTGAATAGGTTTCTGATTAAGCAAACCATGCACAATGTGTAACCTTTTAGAGCTGTTATTAAAAATATCAATGAAATTAACTGGTTGATGCATTTGCTGAAACCTCTAAGATAAAGTATTTTATCGTATTCTTCACTGCAGAAATGAAATCTGGCTCCAAAATACAATAATTTACACCTCTAGATACGTGCAACGTTTATTTACCATGTTGACTTATGATCATCTGCTAAAAACTTCAAGAAAAGATGCTAGTTCCGGATTATGGTTGGGACTTATCGTCCCTGTTTTATTACTTAAAACAGACAATAAAGCACTAGCTTACGAATTTTTTCTATCTTTAATTACTGTACTCTTCTTAACGAAGAATAGTCATTTTAAACATGCTGTCATTCCTATATGTATATGGCTGAATTGTCAACATTTTCACCATGTTAGTACGGTGATTCGCCCTTTGTTTACAGTTATGTTTGTTGTATTTTTTTCTTACAAATTATTAAGTCTATTCCCTTTTTCGTTTACGTTTGGTGAAACTGTGCTACTTGCTCAACTTTCTGCAGTATTTCTTCTTACTGAATGTAATTTTGTAGTACCATTTTTAATACTCTTTCTAATTGAACGATATTCTATTAGATTCTCAGTGAAAATTGCTTTTTTCGTGTTAATAACACTTACTATTTTGACTGGATGCTTTTGGATTTACGCTTGTCGTGTAAAGATAGCTACTAGTTTCATTATAAATCAAATTGAATGTTTTATTGTGTCAAGTAATTTCATTTTATTGATATTTTGGCTATGCTTATTTATGCTATGTGTTTATATTACTATTGTTTATCGTTGTTCTGATCATAACATTCATCGGATCATGAATAGTAGTACAGTTAAACCAGAATTTTGTGATAGTTCAATTGTATTATCCGATGAATTGAACCTATCCGACCAAAGTGAATATTATGAATTATTTAGCGAAAATGAATTAATTAGAAATAGTCGTACAACGTGTGATTTATTATATGATGACAAAGAAAAGACGTTTCAACTTCGTAAACTATTTCATTTTGCTGCTGGTATTGTCTATTCATCTGGCTTGCTCTATTCACCATATCTTCTTTCATTGATGTCTGTCGCATTACTTATTGTATTTTGGTGGTTTGAATGGATCCGAAGGCGAGGGGTAAGTTTGTTGATACTTTTAGTTAGACTACGCTGTTTATGATTATAATTACAAGTAGGTTTTGAGATCGATACTCAATGTAATCAAGTGCATTGTATTGTCTTGTCAGACTGGATTGTTACCTACTTATCTACCTATTTAGCACCAAAGCCAAACAGTAAAGAGTAGTAGAATCTACTCTGATGTAGTCATATCTAACAAATAGAGACCTGTGAAAAAGCCATCATTGCTCTAAACAGGGCGTTCACTCAACCAAGGAAGATTGTCCGTCAGGGTATTCCTAGTGTGGTCGTATTTGTTTCAACATGTACTGTGCATAACAACACAGAAAATTTCATATAACACCGCTAAAAGGATGTATTACACAATTTAGTGATATTTTGAAGTAATAAAGTGATGACAGATTATATAATCAATATTGTCTGGAAGGCACTACAATTAAGGACGGCTTAGACAAGCATTTTTGACTTACGAGATTTCGTTTCACTTTCAGGGGGAGTGTAACTGAAAACGACCTTAGAATCATCATTGACTTCTATTTTAAACCTTAGGCCATCAGGTTGGGTGATTTTTAGAATCTCTTCAAAAGAGTCGTTACAAATCAACAGACGCGAGTCTTACAGAACTATCCCTCAAAATTTAGTGTAATGCTATGAACTGACCACCTATCCTTTTATTCTTAAATGTATACCAGACCTTTTATGTTAAACCTAGTTGAATTCTATAACAACTAACACATATATTATATAATAAGGATACGTATTAGTAACCAACAAATCTACTTTATCCTGTAACTACGAAATTAGTATAGAATAGTACTTCAGTCCTCTGCAACATAGGGCATGATACATATGTGCATCGGTTTTAGTTGTCGCACCGTATCAACATGGCCAGAGAAAATTATCAAGGTAAGTGTCAGAGTAGTAAAAGTAGTAGCAGTATTAGTAATAGTAATAGAGGAGATTAAGTATGAAAGTATGTGATTCTGGGACCCAGGATCAAAGAGAAAACAAGGAGTGAATTCACTTGTGCCATTGCAAGCGAATGTAAACCACGTCATCAAAAGTCTCCAACCACTGGTGATGGCTGAAACGCGGATCCCAACCACGTAGTTTATATCCATCTGCATGATTCAGTATAACTGTCACTGACCTCACAAACTGATGCTACATTTTGACTTAACCCTCCTAACTTTCTCCCAGCCTACTCCTACACCAGACAGCACCGCCCTTCGAGGTATTCGGTTGTTGGAGATATATAGTACATGTCTCAACCACCTCAGTCGATCAAGATTCACTACCTGGTTAATCGAATTTCAATTTCTACCTAACACCCTATGCCTAATCTCAGTATTACTCACTCGGTAGTCTTAAAATATACAGACCATGCTTTGAAGACACCTATGACCGAATATTAGTAGCTTACGAATATCACCTATTCTTAATGACCATATTTTGTATCCATAAATTAAAAGATAACGCACTGCTGGATAATAAACTCGACCTTTGGTTGGTAGAAAAACATCTCCCGTCACTCAGCTTATTCGGAAACCGTAAATACAAAAAATGTACGTCAGTGATCATTTGATAAAATTAGTTGTTCATGGTTTTTTTAATCACGGTGAAAATTTCTTAAATTAATGATAAAGTATGATGTTACTACAGTTCATATCTATGTATTATTATCACTAAGATACTATTATAGGGAAAACTAAAGCATACTCATGTTGAAGATCAAGTTATTGCGGTAGGATTCAGCTAATGAGTAAATATATGTTCACGGTCTAGTGTACAAAACATTTAATAACAATTCTTTGGTTATATTACCTGTCTGAATCGGTCAGTGGTCTTGAGTGCTGTTAGAGGTATGAGGGCGGTTATCACTTCCCGGTTGTCTGTCTGAATCAAATCTTAGATTAACTAATTCCTTGTGGTTCCCCATGTGAATATTAAAAAAATCTGAGTTTTTCGCGCACCTAGTATTCATTGAGATATAAAGCTGTTTCTGCCTCGTCCTATCTTCAGTTTTTAAAATTCTATTTCTGAGATTGTAATGCTTATCATTTATATGCTTTTAAAGCATAACTACTACAAACAGCCTTTTTGTTGAGTACGGTTAGGTGTTTCATCCAGTCCGGTTGTGAGAATAATAGTATTTCTCTTCAAAATATTAATTAATTTATATCATCGTATTCCCCAGATCTGGCGTTTCAAACAACGTAAATGATTCAGTTATTAGAAAAGGTATCTAGTGATTAAATTGATGTTTTAATAGACCGGACTACTAACCTTGTTCCAGTTTCATTTTATCTCAAGTAGGCGGCTGTTGTGTGACAGTCACAAATATATTTACATTTCATTGTACTAGTTTCCTATCTAGATCATTTTATTCTTGTCTAAATATAAAGGGTGCTAAATAATTTAAAAATAGGACCATCTAATTAACTGTTAAACTTAACTCAATTATCCAGTCATCAATCCGATTTTTATCATTTAAGTAAAATTTCCTTTTTATTTTAGTCTTAGTCTACTAATGTATCACTGTCATCTAAATATTAAGGTACTCGGGTTTCGGTCAGTAAGTCAACGATTCGGACTCAGTCACATCTACTTCACTTTAGTCTACCGAGTAGTATCTCTTAACCGTACGAAAAACAATATGAATCGAGGCCAATCGCATAAACCTGTACTTAATAAATGTGATACATAGTAAGTTACTCTGGGCAACAAATTGACGTAATTGTACATAATTTCAAACAAGTTTTCAATGTAATACTTAAACTAGAAATTGTTTTTAAATTTTCATTTCTAAATTGTAGCCATCTACTCTTTCCTCCTACCTTAGTACTTTGGTTAATCCATTTCGTGATAAACGAGATTCTGGTGACATTCTATTCACACCTATTGCTCTTTTACTCGGTTTAAGTATTCCTGTTTGGTGGCCACAAAATATAAATACTAATGGGAGTATAATTAGTATTGGTAAGTAAATTAAAGTTTATCGGCTTTATAGAACATTTTGCTTGAGAGAATTATTTATTTGAACTGAACACGAACATTGGTACATGGGGGCACCGAATACATAAGCTCCACATAATAAAAATGAGGCCAGTAGTAGTTATCATTGGTTTGTGTGAGGGCTGTGATACTGCCTGGGTGCCCAGACCGAAGCATGTGGTTTTCTTAGAGGGTCAGACCTGGAGGTTTTGACCTAAAGGTTTAATCTACAAGGCAATGGATCGACGTTAGGAGATGCAGTCCCGTGGTAGTCGGTGACCAACAGTAGTTTTACACGTCATTTGTTCCCTCAGGATCCTAGAGCCCATGTGCACCATTGGTTTGCAATCAGGGTTTTCCAACTCCCCCAGGTGGATCCTCCGCGTCCACAAACTCGGTTAAAGCACTGGATATTCGCTTTTCGTCCTCTCAATCTCGTAAGCAACAGTGATGCCACGAGAAGGCAGTGAGTAGGACTTCCCTGGTAACGGCTATATACGCGTTGCCATGTGAGAGTATTTCGAGAGGGAAAGCGGACTCTCCAACCTCGGCCGTAACAGGGCATTTGAGGCTTTATGAAAAAAAACTGACAACTATCTACAAAAGTACAACAATAAAATATAGAGCACATTCAACTCTTTGTAAATCACATTAAAACAATATACAAGATCATAATTACTAACACTAAGTTCAATCCTTGTTGTGTAAATCCAAACATTGACCCACCAAATATCAAACACTAAGTCTACTGATAGACGAAAGTAGTATTTAGCTAGTATTTTTATAGGTTAGTGAAGTAGTTCAGTGGTGACTGATTCTTTTGTTTTTTAGATCACAATTCATTATCATTCATAGGCTTGTGGTTAAAAAACTATCCTAATTGTGAAGTGTCGATTTAGTTTGCAAATTTTATAGATTTTCTTATGACAGAGAGATAATCTGTTCATCAGTGACTAGCTCCATATGGATTCCAGAATTTCTACTGAAAAGTGATTCCTGTTGGAGTTGAACCATGTCACCAATACGATTAGAGGCTGACATCACCCGTATTTTTCCATGTACCCGAAGTGTATCGTATCTAACACCCGGTTGTTTCTCCTTCTCTTTAATGAGTAAGTTCTGAATTTCAAAGCATATTTTTTATTCGAGATTTCATTTCAAATACTAACGTCTACTGTACTCATATTTTTATCCGGTATTTTGGGTTGGGTTTCATTGGAGAATAAGTTCAGGAGAATTGGATTATCGTTACGTCGCTATGTAATGCGAAGTGACTGGATTCATGGGTGTAAATTATCGAATTCTAAACTAATGGTTTCGAAAGTTATCATGTTCGTACAGAAAGAAACGAAACAGTCCTGAGTACAATTTCGTGTCCGGTGGTCATAACTAATGTTCTACTTCGTCCAAACTAGTTATTATAAATTAGTAAAGCAATAATTTGACAAGATCTATACACGATGATCACTTTTTTCATTTGCTATGCTAATTACTAGTAAAGATACAGTTGAATTTTGAAGAGTATATATTAATATGTTCATCAGTGACTAACTCCATATGGATTTCAAAACCTCTGTCCGATTATAATCATCATATGCTCACTAGTGACTGTCTCTAAGAGCTATTTCCTAGAGTTCTGGTGAGAAGCCGTGACTAGTGGAGTTCAACCGTATCTGTTGTGAGATAGTAACTCACTTAAGTCAACGGTGGTACGATTTCGTTAATTGGTTGAAGTTAGACATTAACACCGTTAGGTGCCAGCTCACTGGTCTAAAGCTTAAGAGTTCGCGCACGAGACTGATAAGTCCTGGGTTCGAATCTCACGAGGCGGGATCGTGGATGTGCACTGCTGAAGAGTCCCATAATAGGATGAAACGGCCGTCCAGTGCTTCCAGGTTGTCCACGGTGGTCTAGCTTCAATTTACTCATGATTTCAACCAGTGAAATATTTTAATTTTTGAACTTTATAGCATGAATTAAGACAAGCGAAATGACTTTCAAGTATCAGTGAAAAACTGTGCACATTTGCATTTGTACTATTGATAAAATGACGTCAACACTGATGACTGAGCAACTTTGTATGAGTTTCTTTAGTTGTTAATGGGTAGTTAAAATTTTTATTTTGGCAACTTGACTTAGAGCTTAGCAACTGTGTTTATGAAACCATTCAGTTAAATAGTTTGATCAATTCTGTTTTTTAATTAAGTGTTATTAATATTCAAATATCTATTATTATACGCATAAGCTTAATTCAGTACATAGATTTCGTAAAGAAGTTTTTTTTTAAATTTATAACCAGGCAACTTATGTTACGAATTGGATGTGAAGCCGTCATCATGGTCAGGAGTTCTATCAATAGCTATAGGCGATAGTTTTGCTGCATTGATTGGACGAACTTATGGAAAGCGTCGTTGGCCTGGATCACATCGAACATATCTAGGATCTTTCGCTTCTTTCTTTTCTCAAGTATGTATATATGTGTATGTAGTGGTAATATGGGCATGCATTGATTTAATGTTGAGAAAATTTTGTTGAATGATCCACTGAATTATCCTTATCTCCTCACAAAGGAGTTTAATCTCTAACGGATTAGTAACACTGAATTAGTTTCGTAATAATCTAAGGAAAACATCTCATCAAAAAATATTTTGCTTTGTATTGGCAGATTATTGGATTTCGCTACCGTGATTTGTCAAGAAGTCCTTCCATGTGCCATTGGTAAGACTGGAAAAAGTGAGAGCCAATGCTTCTTATAAAAATGTTTCAGTGTGGATTTGTCACTTTAAGCCGCAAACTATATTTTGAGGCTTTCAGTGTTCGGACCCTTTTTTATCGTAGCACACTAAGTCGTGAATTGGGCGAGTGCCTGCCGGCGTGTATACCCGTATAATCAGTGCGGGTTGCTGGTCAAAGGCTTCGTCCTAATAATCCGACCACAGCCTAGTCCGGTCTAGATAACTTGATTGGTATGGTGTGGTAGGTTGTGCTCGAGTCATGGCTTAATGAATGTAGCCTTTGCCAGAAAATTTTTGTCCACCTATTTCTCACAACGAGGGTATTTCCTACAGTAAAGCTCTTGAAACCCAAGTCTCTTAAAGTGGCTGGATAGCCCCAATTTAGTGGACCTGTAGCTTAGTGGCCAGGGTGCGCTCAACGTTCAGCCACTAACTCTTCGGTTCAAACCCCGCTCGACTTCGGTTTAGGCGACTAGGTTGTATTATCATAACCCGTCATTCTCAGGATATGATTTATATCTGCCTGTAGCTGTTCTAGAGTTACTGCCGTTCTCAAGCCCGAGTAAAGGAGGAAGGTTGGGTATGGGGTCGGTAACCCCATCCCATAGAAAAAACACTAACCAGATTAAACAAATTAAACACTTTGTCGAATGAGTTAATTAAATTCCCAAGAGTTCACAACACCATCGAAATACTCTGGTTTCTCTTGTTGAATGTATACGTGATACAAGTATTGTTTGCGTTACTAGTAAATTACTATGTTAAGCGAAGTCGGAATTTCAATGTTACTTTCTCTGTGCAAGAAATCTGCGTTCAATAGAATATTCGAGATCAACGGTCTTGCTGAATGTCTAGAAACTTCATAACTTTCAGTCGTAGAAAATACATTTAGTATTTCTTGTAGTCAAAACTATGATAGTGTCATTTAGAATTAGAACTTCCCACTAATGTAGTCCAGTTCCCCGCATAATAAGTAATCAATAACTATCAGCGGAAATGGAAAAGTGGCTAGCAGTCGAATTTGTAACGCGGGTTTCGTCCCACTTGGTACTCTTTAGCTGGGTATATCTTCATTTTACAGTTGATTTTCACTACGGGACTCAAGCTCAATACCATTTACATCAAACGCTGTCGAGTTATCCACTTAGCTACTAAGTCCAGGTAGCCACTGGGTTAGATTGTGCAATAAGGTGAAGTTCAATTCATTTCTATTGGTTGTTTGAATCTTCCCATTGATGTTCAGGAATGCAACTGTTCAACTCTTGAGTGCAGGTACATTCAGCTGACGAGTCCCAAATAAGGCGAATAGGCGTTCTGAATATCACTGCTAACTATCATCTATCTGTGCTTATGGTGCTTATGACTTAATGGCAATATTGAGGTGATGCGTGCAGGATGTACATTTGCCAATAATAGACCGATTAATTTCAATCCTAAACATTAATGGGAAGATCCAAAACAACCAATACAAATGAGTTCAAGTGATTTAATTTATAAAATAATATTGAGTTCGTATTTGAATGATTCTGTCATTAAAATAATGTCATTAGATTGTTCACAAATATATTTCTAACGCATTGGAAACTTATCTAATTAGTGTAATAATTTAGTTTGAAATGTTAAATCATTGTTTCCTGCTATCAGTTTGTTGCCCTCAAGAGACTGAATTTCTAAATGTCCGTCATTTGATAATGAGGGGATGAGATTTGTTTTGACAATATCATCTCGCTGTGTTAATTGGCTTATGTTAACTTGAACCAATGTACATATGTTCTGTATTCTGCGTTGCGTTTAACTTACTCATTAATGGATAAGATTAGGAAATTTGTGCTTGGCTCTCTTCTCACTTACAACCAAATTATTAGATACAATTATGCGGAAAAAGTTATCTTTTTCTAACTTAGTGTATAAAGTTGGGTAAAGTAAAAAAATTTCATTCCAAAACAACAATCTTCTGCAATAGACATCAGGTAATAGACTGTTTCATTCACTTCATCAATTGACTTTACTGTTAAGAAATCCATTGTTCAAATCTTCCCAGTTATATAGGCTGTAAGCTGTTTTAGAGTTAATCCAATGAATTGTTTCAATGTGTTGTTATAGGATATTTTTTAAAATTTTTATTTGAACACATAAATATTGGCACAAGAGAACACCAAATATATATGCGCCACACAAATTTCATCATATTTGTGTGTGGGCTGTGATACTACCCGGGTGCCCAGACCGAAGCAAGTGGTTTTCTTAGGGGGCCACACTCCTAGCCTTTGACCTAAAAGTCTAACCCACAAGGCAATGGAGCATCGTGAGGAGATGCAGTCCCATGGTAGCCGGTGACCAACGACTGGTCCATACGCCATTTGTTCTCTCAGGATACTGAAGCCCATGTGCACCATTGAGTTGGGATTCGGTTAAAGCGCCGGACATTCGCTTTTCGTCCTCTCTATTTCGTAAACAACAATCCCACCACAAGAAGGCGGTGAGTAGGACTTCCTCGCCAGAGGCTGTATACGCGTGGCCGTGTGAGAGTATTTCGAGTGGGGGGCGGGCCCACCCCACTCTCGGTTACATCAGGGCATTTTTGGGAGCATTGGAATTGGGGATACTGACAATTAAGTACAAAATCTTATTAGCAACTCCTAGTTTTTATATCAAGTACATGTTAGCAAGTGAATTGTACTATATCCTTATATGCAATCTTTCTTTTATATATTACCACCTCTGAATTAACTATTTTTTTGAATCCGGTGTCCATCTTGTTGTGTTAATGAGGTATGGCAACTTGGACCGATACATATATGTGCCTGGTCCTACGTTTTAGCTGATTTGACTGACTAACAAGTGAATTATATAATCAGATTGTTCAAATGACTCATTTCTTGAATACATCATCCATTTTTATAAATTAACTCAACTTTTTTATCATATTTTATTTGACTTTTTTTATATTGTCACATAATTTAGATGATTGCATGGACAATTATATCATATTATTATTCATGGTATTGGTTAACCGGTATTATTCCTTTATTCATCGGTGTACTTATTGAAGCATATATTGATCAAATTGATAATTTAGTTATACCATTGGTTGTTATGCTCATTTTTCATAGTTTGTAATCATTATACCAGTTTAATGGTACATTGTATGCACTTATTTAGATTTGTTTATTTTCTACCATATTTCATGTATGTTTATATGTTTGCTTGTTTATATACATAATAAATGAATGTTTTGTTTGCTAATAATAAGGTCTATCACTCGTTCATTTATTAACAGCAATAAAATGTTAACAAAAGATTTCATCAATTACATAATTTATTGACTATCCTTATTATTTGTAAGAAAATAGCGTTGATGTGAAAGCACTGTTCGTTGCAGAATATCTGCTGAAGAGTCGATTTTATAAGTGGTTATCTAATGGTCCCGCCAAGAATTTCGTTTTCATTTGAGGGATCAAGTAAAATACTGTTGTAACTTGTGACCGCCTATTAGGAAGCAGTGACTTATCGATCGGGTCAATGATGCGTAAAACCGTATAATCAGTCTAGAGTCCTGATTGGCCCTGCTTCCAGTCTTGCCCAGCCAGTTTAGTCCAGAACACAAGTCTCAGCCTCTGCGATATGAATCATTATATTTCAAACATACTCTGTTTATATACCAATCAGACAGACTGTAGCGGCAAATAAGTCCCAAAAATAAATAGCTCTGTAAGTTTTCGACATTGGATACTGACCAGATGTTTTGATGGGCTCACCTAGCTGAAGACGCTCGGTCATGACGAGTGGGGACGCCGTGCTCAATAACCCCTGCAATCGCTAGTCAGATTAGATCAGACGATTCTAGACATATTGATAGCTTATCAAATATATCTTCAAGCTTCCTCGATTCTGTCTTTTGATTTCACTTGGTGGGTACGTTTCGTATTAGAAGATGTTACTGGCTAAAGCGTTGTCAAACTCTGAATACCTGTAGTATCTTCAAGACCACATCGTACCATAAAATAGAAAATAACATTTATAAAATACTTGACCAACAGGAAAATGATACGTGAAATAAATATTAGCCAGTAGGAATATGATACCATTTCAAGTCCAAGGATGGCATTAGACTTAACAGGATAATTTTTCTAAATATCCCAACAATTACATTTAAATCATCACTGGGACTCGATAGTCTGCATTTTTAATGTCAGTTAGTTCGTAGTATATTGGCGAGACCACCGGTCGTCGATACTCTGTGTAGGTTCTCAAACGTATTTTGTGCTCCAAAACTATTGAATATTTGTCCAGTGAACATCAATTCGTTAACAGTGATCATGACATTGGACCAATTTACACAAACTTTCTGAGTGAACGGGAAAGTGATTTTGGAGGCAACGAAGCAGGTTTAGGTAAATTATTGATTACTTAAAAAGTGAGTCATTCTGAAAAGGCAGTCTTGGAATCATATGTATTTGTCTAGCTTTGGACATCTGTATGGCTTTCTTAACCTGTATTACTCATAAAGCAATTCGTTACTTGACTGTCCCGCAATATGCAAAAGTCGGAAAAATATATCATGTTGGTTTTTAGTTTACCTAAGTTATGTTTCTGTTTATCCAATACTCTCTCCAATTTATGTATTTTGCGATGCGACAAACAATTAGGGTAGATCTATCCATCCCTATATATTAACTACATTTTAATAAGATCCTTATTTTTCCTTATATAAGCGTGCAGGGGAACTAGTTATGCTAGATAATCTCTAGGAGCATGTGTTTCAGGTCAATCACAAATCAATAGGTCTTTTTAATATGAATTCAGAATAGATCAGACAATCAAGTGGTTCCCCTCCGTTAAAGTTTATCTAAATGATCCATAGTTGTGTTTGCATTTTTACGGATAAGGACTGACTATTGTTATGGTTGAGAGAAGTAAAACTGGTTTATCTTGAGTAGATATTTGCTGAATTTCAATTCGCTAAATAACAAAGCGATTTTCATAATCCACTATCTCGGTACTGAATGATGAGTAACGAACAGGAATGCATAAACCATAAATGTATTGAAACAAATGTGTTGAATAAGTCTTTGAACATGATATTATATGCAGTTAATCTGCGCATCACTATGAGTATCCAAAACGTAGTAGAATAGCACATTTTGATCAGTCTAATGCACTTTTTGTTTTAATTATTTGTGACAACAGTTGGTAGGAATGTAAGTGATATAGTTTTACTTCATATCTCAACGTAAGATTTTCGTTTAGTCCAATTACCTAAAAAAATTATGATACGAAACAAACGTAGCGTTTAAACTTGATGAACAAGCGTTAACGTAACGATATTGTATGATGACTTCATCTTTGTATTTACTGAAATAATCATGTTGACTGATTGAACAAAACAGATCCTCTAATATCAAGTGCATATACTTTAGAAGGTAAAACCAACTAAATGTTCTAGGGGTTGGAAACTGAAATATTCAAAAGGACATTCAACTAATGTATTAGATGATAAGTGTTCAATCATTGGTGCAACGAAGTATGCAGTTATCTCCCGCATAACTGATATTTAGCCATTTAGAATACGCCTACCTGAGTCTGTTACCCTTCGTGAGAGTATTTGTCGTCGACCGGAATTTTCCTTACAACTCTATCATAGGCTTTCGATTTCAGTTGTTCCAACTTTCTATTCATTCTTTTGACGTCTGTATTCAATTCCATACTTAATGCTTACTTTGGTCTTCCACCTTTCCCTTCAAGATTCCACGTTGGGGTTCGTCTCGTGATGTAGACTGATGAACTCTGCAGTATGTGTCCTGTATATGCTGAATCCGGCCTGTTGGTTTCGTAGTGGGCGTCTATTGAATCTTCCATTCGGTTCAGCAACGCTCGGTTCAAAACTTTTTGTAGTACCGATAATAGTGTGATGCCTCTCTAGTTCTCGCGTCTGCTGATGAGGTGTACATTTTTCTAGTCTGTTGGCACATGTTCTCCATCCTTAATTTTACTGAATAGAACGTGCAGCACCTATGCAGTCATCTCTGTCTGAATTCACTGCTTCAGCTGTTATGTTCTCTGGCCCTGCTACTTTCCCACTTTTGAATTGTCTGGTGGCCATGCTAATTTCCTCGACATCTTGTAAAGTTTCATCCGTAAGAATGTCTGTTTGTAGTTTCGATATCCAATTGTCTCAGTTGGACTAGTCTTTTCAAGAGTTTTTCATAGTGCTCTTTCCACTTGTTCCTATGTGCTTGAATCTCAGTGGTTGGCTTGCCCTACTTATGCTTGACTGTTCTCCCTAGTTTACAGCGTTTCCCAGCTATCTTTTTCTTTATGTCATACCTCTGTTACATATTTCCATATTTTGCGGCATTTTTGTTCTCACTGCTAGGTCTTTTACATATTACTATTTGTCGACACTAAGGCTCTCCTTCACTTGATTGTTTGCTTCAGTGTATTCAGTTTGTGCATTGGCTTACTTTGCTATTGTTCAGCTGTTGTTAGTTGCTGCCTTCTTGCTCTTTCTTTCCTGAATTTTGTCCGGAGTTTCGATCTAAATCTGTTCCACATGATGATGCTAATTGTGGCTTAGAACCTCCTGAAACGTTGAAGTTAGTGCTTCTTTGATCCTTTTTCAATTGTTCTCCATGGTACTGTGATCTTCTTTGAGTAGACTTGTAGGGCTTGGAACCCGTTGTCGAGAGTTATTATGAATTCATCGTGTTTGTTAGTATCTCTTAGGAACGCTGTATTGAATCTTTGTAATGCTGTTTGTCCAGTTGTCCAATTCTTCTTTCGCTTCAGATTCATCTTAGCAACAACTAGGTGACAATGTAGAACTTTGTCAGCTCCTCTCCTGGTCCTCAAATCTTCCACTGACCTGGATGTTTTAGTAATTTTAAAGTAACTCAATATTCTTATCAGTTTTACAGAACCTGAATTATTATTATTAGTAGTAGTAATTTCTCTATTTCTTTTTCAAATGTGGCGAATATAATGCTAACATTATTGAAACTTGTGTGTCATCGTATTTTTGAAGAAACCCGAAACGGTTTCTTCACAACACTTGTGTACCCATTAGATGTTCGTGAATATTAATAATAAAATATAATCGACCTGGTTATCTGTAATCTGGTCCGGTGATACCCTTTTATATTTTTGTGTGTTTTGGGGGGACACTGTATCATCTATAACTATTTTTTGGGTGAATACAAGTTTCCAAATATGTCACCATTCTTGTTTTTTCCTTCCAGTTCATGTCGTTCCATGATATCTTCATACCCGATGTCATCCATTCTGATATAAGCGTCCAATTTTCCAATCAGGGTGGTCAGGCTTTTTACTGAGCACTTCGCTACGATCAAATGCAGCCTCTCATATAACTGATCTCCATCGTCCACATCACTATCATTGGTGGGTGCTTAACCCTGGACAACATTAACTCTCATTCTTCGCTTAGGAGGATTCTCTGATGTCCTTGGATCAGTGAGATATCTATTTTATAAACACTTCCCATGCTTCTTTTGAAAACATCAGTACGAATACATGTGTGAGGAGCATTTCCTTCTTCATGTCCAGAGTACAACAGCAACTCCCGAATTTAATCATTTCTGTCCAGGTTGTCTCCATTGGGTTTCACTTATCATGAAGACCAACAAGTTATATCTGCTCGTTTTCGTAGATATCTGATTGGTGGTCCTGGCCTACCACATTGCCGAACGTTCCATGTACCTATATTAATTGTTGCTCCGGTTGTTAGATAGAGTGCCTGCACCATGACTTCCGAAAAATCTCGGTTTTTACCACAAACCGTCATAATTATTCTGAATAAAGAGCCTTCGTTTCTGATGTCAGAGTTTAAGTGATTTAAATTGTTTATTCTGGTTAGGGTTTCTTAACAAGTTTGTTTTCCATGGGATGAGGACTCTGACCCCGCACTATCCGGCTTCCGGACTGAAAGTAAGCACGGAAGGTTTACAGTTAGAGTTTTAGGATCACATATTTAGTGCGGATAGTAGTGTTATCGTGAGCACACTTGCATGGCTGAGTAATGTCTCTGTCGATTCGTATCCCTGAGTTCGCCAGTTTGACCTCTAAGTGTTTTATGTCGACTTTGAATCTCGAGAATTACGTGTCCAGCTCCAAAGATTGTGTGACTAGGAACCAGTGTCATCACTAGATACATGTTATCATCAGAATTGTGTGGATCCGCAGAAAGGAATGTGTATCCAATATTATGACAATGTGGGAAAAGTAGTTTCAATGATTGTCATATATAAATTCAAAGCATTCGCGCATAAATACCAGGGACTATGTTGTATAAAATGAGCC